CATTCTGTTGAGTGTCATTGTGTTAAACATCATAACCAGTCATTTGCATGTGCGAATATATATATATATATATATATATATATATATATATATATATATATGCTAGCTATTTCGCTACTCTAAGCAGAAGTGTAGGCTACAAAAGTTTAACAGATTATGGAATTCCAGAATAAAACCAGTTTGACTTCACTCATATTTATCAAATGGAGTAAATTGTGATGTCATCAGAAAACTGACTAACGGACTTAAAAACTAATGCATATGGTTATAACTAAACATTATACAAAATAGTTGTTAGAGGTTTATGGACTAAAACTGCTAAATAATGGTCAAGTTTATTCGTTTTCGTTAGAAATATTATGTTCTTGTTGTGTAGTAGTGTCAGGTGAGGAGAATAATGGGCGAATTCCTAAAGTTTGGGAAAAACGAATAGATGGCTTATTTTTTTCATAACAGAACATTTCAATATATGTTGAAGCCGTGATTTTAGTGAGTATCAAGGTAGACATTGTTATAAAGTTTGACTATTAAAAGGGATATATTAGAAAACATAACGGATTGCTTACCTATATGCGTGAGCATATAGTTATGTTTGATCGTATTTACGATTTCTCCTTCATTCAAATCATGCTTAGCATGACTGTGGACTTGGACATACTGAATCCTTCGCTTTGTTTTCTCCTGGTTATCATTTAATAAACCGAAACCTTTGCCTTTATGCCAGAATACCGAACTATTTGACCGACGTTTGATATATACTTGCATGAGCGTGAAGGCTAATTCGGGCGACCAGTCAGCCCTATAGGTTTTCTTCATGGGATGAAGTGCCTGAAAAGTGAATCGGAACTGTTCACTTATAGGTAATATAGCTCGCCTAATACAGAGCTAAATTGTTAACTAAAAATTTACTGACCAGAATGCATTTGAAAACTACACAGAGTCGAAGTTTGGTCACGTTTATATTTGTACATTATTTTGCTTTCTAATCGCTTGTTTGTTTCGACTCTTAAAAAAATAAAATTGTAGAGCGAAATGAATTATTGTTTAGTTGAAAATAAACTCTAAGCTGTTAGAAGTAATGTTCCACATTCCCTAACATTATTCAGACGCTGTCTCAAAAACAATTTATCAAGTGTATTTTCTCTTCTCTCTATCATACGCTTCTATCTCTTTGATCCCATTTTTATCTATTAGGGTAAATCCTAAAGCAAAGTTATCCCCGTTTATCTGAATAATATTTATCTGATATACAAATATACATGTGTTAAATATTTTAATTTTTATACTTTGATACAAAAAACATGTGGATAATCGCACTTTTAGCTTTTTATTCACTTTCACAGATAATCCTGTGTGTAGGTAATAATTATCTCGAGTCAAATATATACTGAGATTGTATTTTGTTTAAACGATGTCTTAATAGAAATTGATTCTACGCTGTGCATAAAAAACGTTTTATGTGTGATAATTCAGAAGAATCAAAGTAACTATGAATGCTGAAGCAAGAAATTGTTGTACAATCCACTATGTAGATTTTTCTACTTCATGGTGTATATTTAGACTCTGACTAATATTTAATGAGTTCATACGAAAGAAATTATATTTTCAGTTGTTCCCTGTAGTAATGTTGACTGTTACTTGTTTTATTTGTGAATATTTATGTGTCCATGTAAGTGATGCCGGCAATTAAGAATTATTAAAGCTTTTCCCTCTTAAATATCATCTGAAGAGTGACAAATGACTTAATTTTCTCGTGTTTCACATAAGCTTCCCGACAGATCGTATTTTTTTTTAAGTATTTCTCTTTATTTGGTTCATCTTTGTTATCTGTGATGAATGTATCTGACGAAGATTCTTTCCAGAAAGTGTCTAGCAGTAAACACCTAAAAATGAGGGCTTATAGGAGTTTCATTCTTAAGTCAGGTTAGCGGGGTAGCTCTAAAAATCACCCTGACAACGCGTGAAATATCCGGTTATGTTTATTTTGGGTTGAAAAGCAGGTTTTCATAAAATATCGAACCAATAGTGATTATTTCACATGCTGTAATAATGGCTTTTAGAGTCTCCCGTTTACCGTTTCTCCCCTTGTAATTTGCTTCAGTTCTTAAAGCAGTAAGTTACCTTAAAACTCATCCGATTACTAAGCCATTCACGATAAAAAGCTTCAATATAATGGTTTATAGTCTTGTCAGATATTTCAATCCTTTACGTACTAAAAGAATTTGACTGTGGGTGGAGTTGTGAGTATTTGAATATTTGCATCGTTATTCTTAGTGTTCTACAATGTTTTCAGGCTGCACGTTAAATAAGAAGAAAGCAAAAGCTACAATAGTAGAAATATTTAACATTACAGTCCTTCATTAGAATCCAACCTCGACAACAAGAAATGACTCACTGATTATAAACTTTCAGTTTTACTTCTAAATAACCCTTTATTACCAAAAAATATCACATTCTTGTGGCTTATATGTTTTGTTCATAAGCATTATACACAACGTTCAGTCGGTTGCTGATATGCTGTTCACTATGGAGTTTGCGGAGTTAAAAGTGAAAGTCAGTTAGTTATTGCGTTTATCATGACGAGCGTATTATGTCACTACGACATATAATTTAAATTACCATATATTGGGTTTTCCTTAACATTTCCATCAATTAACAACTGTAATCAAGCAAAATGCATTTTCCGAGAAAACATTTATCTCCTTTTTTGCATGCTTAGTGTGTTGAGTTTAATAATTGGTCAGTGGTCTCTTTGACTACATAAAAACTACACTGAAATGTCAATACGTGTCAGCTTAACCCTCGGTATTAGGACAAAACTGCTTTGTCCACTTAGTTATGGATATTAATGTGCAAGAGACTGGCATAAAAAATCCATCGGATTTCAATATAAAGAACATGTTTTACATTTCTTAAATCCGTACGGATGACAATGTAAAATATCAAATGTTATCATGTGAAGCTGTTAGTAAGTGTTAGTTTAATCTATTTACGCTATCAAGAGATAACCTTCAAATAGTTTTCCGAATTATAAAGGGTTTCAGTTATCAAAATACGTTCTTAATCAACCTTATTTTCTTTAACTGTTGTTTGCATGGATTGTTTTAATGTTTTTTTGTTAAAACATTCGTCCGTGGATAAGCGCAGAAAAGCAAATTCACTTCTTTTTCGACTTCAGTCTTGCTAAAATTGTCAAACAAGATCACTTGCCAAATGCACGGCGCTACCCACTAGGAAAAAAGACAATTTTGATGTAGCTTTTGTAGTCAATTACTATATAGCCAGTTTTAAAGAAATGAATATTTGTTTAAATTTAGTGCTGAGTTTAATTTATTAGTCTCTTGACAATTCTTTCAGATGCTTCCATGAGACGTACAAGAGCGTCTGCATAGATTCCCCAGATTTTTGTTCGTGTTATGATGAAAAGATGCATATCTTTTATAATAAGATTATTTTGGTAAGCAGGAAAATATCAGATTATTTAAAGAAAAAGTCTATTTAGAGGTAGTATTCATCAAGGAATGACATCATTTGGGGAACCATTGGAAATCTGGGAGCATTGGACGGCTGTTTCATCCTAGTATGGAACTTCTCAGCAGTACGCAACCACGACCCGCCTAGGGATCGAACCCAGGACCTTCAGGTTTCACAGCGAACGCTTTGACCATCCAGCCACTAGATTGGTTTCCAGTGTTTCACAAATTTCAGCTTCCGTCAATTCATAATATAGCGTGACTGTCACCCAAGGTCTTCAGTTAGCATCCGCTTCACTTACAACTGGTTACCCTACAGGTCACGGCTTCTCATTAGAACTTCGTGGTATCCATCTGGAAGCAAGTAACTAATGAGCACTATACAGTAATGTATTTTCGAGATGAATGGGATTTTCAATGGTTGCCGAACTGATGTCAGTCCTTGATGAATCCTACCTCTAAATTAACCCCCCCCCCCTATTGTCTGTATCACACCATAAATTATTCAAATTCTCTGCAGGCCTTTTGCATGGAACGTATGTAATTGTATATTGTATTATACACACTTCAAGGAACTCGAAAATTACAAAAGTATATTCCAAATCCTCACATTTTCCTTTTTATAACAGCCAGAGAATATTCATTGCCTTGCAAAAGATCAGATGCACTGAATACCACAACTTTCAGTATTTTACATGATTCATACTCGCGGAATTTAGAAAACTGACATCATTTTTTTATGCTTATACTTCGTAAGTTAAGTAAGACTTCAAGTTAAAAAGCTAATCATACTGATAAGTTATCGTTTTTCAATCATAATGTAACTTTCTTCAGCAATTATTGATGAAAACTTTGATTTGTACATGGCATAAAGAGTGATCGATGCTCAAATAAGATCTGAGTTATAGATGCAGTTCAATCTGTTATCGTTATTTACATACCCAAGTGGTTTCAGTACGACTCATTCACAAAATGTAAACTGTGAATAAATGCATATAGCTTGGATACATATCACTATATGTTCCATAGTATTGTGAACTTAATGCGAACCTGTTCAGAAGTATGAGCACAACTTCTATTCTATTTTTACTTTTATCTGTCGATATTTCGTCAACAGGAACAAAAGATTTACAACACCTTAAACCAGAATGTTATAACCAAAGAGGTGGTGATGAAAAGTATGTCATATTCTACTACAGCTATAACACTATAAAGGTTATGAAATGGTTTTGATATAACACTACTTACTAATAAAGAGATGAGTCAGATCATGAACCTAAGCTAGATTGTATTCAAAGAGGAATCCCATTATATTTTCATTTACTAATATCCTTATTCTGATTCTTGCCATTATGTTACCGATAACGCACTTACAATAATTAAGACCACAAACATTCTCGACAATTAAAATCTATAATTAGTCAATTATTCTGCAAATAAATGTGCATCCGGCAGTATATGGTCGGATTTTTCAGCTAACTGGTTCTCAAAGAGCGTTGTTGTATTTTTCTCCTTTTTTGTTATCAGCAAAAGTTGGTGATTTCCTGGAAGATATCTATCAAGATCATTCATATTTGATTGGTTTACACTTGCTCAGTCAACCTAGTGAGGATATGTTGATGAAAATCACTGAATGTCATCGTAATCTTATGTAAGTTAAAGTGGAGAGAATAATTCTTTCGAAATTTGCAGACTTTTGTTTTCTGTTAATAATTATAATCGAGGAAAAAAACAGAATAACATGGAATTTGAATATTTCTACCTTATTTTCTGATCAAAAATGTTAAGTTGAATATTAACTTGCAGGCTGTTTTAGAAACAAAGTGAAAATGTTTCTAAGTAGAAGAAAGTATTCAAGAAGCAGAAAGCGGTAGACACTACCAAATTGTAGAGAAAGTTGGTTACTGATACTTATAATACCCCGTTGCTATACTGGATCAAATTGCTTCACCTCTGTTGACGAATGAGCTGCTAAATGGAGGCCTCAATACTGCCTAGCTATTCCATATATTATGGTCAGTTAGGTGGGCAGCAGTAGGATCCAGGACGCACGTTTTGTCCTGTTTGGAACTCTGGCTGAATGTGCCTATGCCGCAGTATGATGTTGTTTCCACCGAGACTCGAACATAGTTCCCATCGATTCAAACAGCATCACTTACTGGGGGTGCAGTTGCATACAGCTGAGTCCCAAATAAGACAAAGTGCGCCCCGCATTTTCCTGCTAGCCATCAGACAGACTCCAATGTACAGAAAGTACTTATACATAAACAGTGATGATATCTTCAAAATACTTTTATTGTAAAAGTTTTGACACAATTACACTATATGCCTGAAAAATTTATATTTAAACCGGTGAATAAAAATTTGATCAGCAATTATTCCTGTAGGACAATAATTTAGTATATCATAACCATGATAACAAAGGAGACAGGATGAAATGTCTTCAAAGCACAAATGCTTCGGTAACACGAAGTTGTTATTGAAGTTCTTATGTCTCCACTGATGCAGCAGCTGAAATAATATACAATGAATGATTAAGAGTTCTTATGAACTAACTGAATTAATGCGCTTAGCCGCACAGTCATGTTATGGCTGCTCACTAGAAGTTGGCGTTATGTCACAAGATACAACAAGTGACCTAAGAGCACATATTACCATTAAAAACATAAAACAATAATTTGAGTGTAGAACAGTTAGCACAAAATGAACATTATTGGAAGTTGGTTTGCCGAACAAAACTAAGAACTTAAAATATATGAGAAACACTTATTGACTATCTAAGTAGGACTTGGATAAGTAAACCTTCTGACTAAAATATCTAATGCTTCTGATTAATTGACATCCTTATCTTAATAGGTTTACTAGCGAATGACCATGACTTATTGTTTCGAATGTAGTATATCTGTAGCGATATCTGAATTGGTGTTTTTAAGTACAAAATACGCCGTGTCCGGCCGTATAAGTTAATCATGTCGGTACAGAAACGTTTTATGATAATAAATGTATCAATCAGAAGGTTTCTGCATGTCAAGCTAAATGTTTCCCGAATTTTCAAAATTCATATTATCCTACACGATAAAAACTTTAGAGAATCTTTTAAGCTTCATGTATCCCAATAATAACTATGAAAGAACTCTTACAATTCAGTGACAACAAACACACTCTCTTTTTTCTGAGCATATAACATAACAGGGGAGTTATTCAAGTATTAGTTCTACTGTGTGTCTAAAGTTATACTATGTATCACTTGACGCTTACTGTAGATAATTCAACTGCTAACAATTATTTAAATTAAATTTATTCGTTCATAATAAAATAAAGCAGAATTTGTCACTACCGCCACAATAAATAAATAAAATATACATCGTCCAGGTCTGATTGCCGGTAATAGGACGATCTAGTAATTAATCTTATCAACAGGTGTGACGCCGTCTCCTCAGCTTCACTGTCGCCTGTGCAATAGTTGCCATTCAGTTAAGTACGCATGAATATCCGATGGTGTAAAACACATTGATAGACGGCCATATACACTCCTACTACGCTAACAATGCAACGAATGTATGCACAAATTCGTCATTACCGACTGATAGGACTGCACGTAAATACCCGCGCACAGACATGCCCGCCTCGATTTTCCACAGAAATTAACATCGTACACTGTCTTGGCAACAAATGCAGCACTTCAGATTGAGCCAGGCATCATCTGATACTTGTGAGCATGGCGACAACACAGTGAGTAGGGTAGGAGACTAAGTTGAGATCAAACGACTGACCATCTAGGCAAAGGAACTTTCACGGACGATGCATTCATCAGAGTGGTATGTGATGCTATCTCGCTTCCACATGTTGAAAATGCTTGAAATATCTACAAAGTTATGTGAAAAGTTTTAAACTTCCTTTATATAATTCCTCCTTTTAAAATACTTTCTTACATCAATTTCATATCCCTTTCTCGGTTTGCTAGACAATTCTTACTTGTATTTCATGAGGGTATTATCTATCTAGACTAATTCAACCTCTTCACCTTTTCGCGTTAACCGTCTGTCATGAATGACCATGGTGATGATGGCAGTTGTTTTTAGTCATCTGAGTTGGTAATCGTGTTACCTGCATCTGTTTTTCCAATCGCGATATGACGTTATTTTTAAAATTGTTAGAAGTTGAACAAGACCTTTATTCTAAAAATTCCTTTGATATGATTATTAACTGCTTGCTAAGTGGATTTTCAGTTTAAGTTTTGAAGCTTATACGAATAAAACAACCTATATAAGTTTTCATCATGATGATCTTTGTTTCTTTTTCTTTTTCCTAATATTACCTCCTTTCGTTTTTGTGAGCTATGTTTGAATTCTATTTCTACGAGAAATCTGTAGTTTGCTTTTTGTTGATAAATATGTTCTCAAACCCTTATTTAAACCCCATGCGTTATTTGACTTGACACTTTAACAGTTATTGAGATTTGAATAAAAAGCTGACATTCCTGATGAATTTTACTTCACTTCTATCTAGTGTTCTCAAACCTTCAGACTTTTAATGCAATACATTTATTTTAACCATTGCGTTGACCTACGTCGATGTAATATGTAGGTTATATAAAGAAAAAATTTTTTTAAAAAACTGGATCTTTGGTCATGCAGTGATTGGTCACTGGAGAGCAACCAATTTCATATTTTCTAGTCCTAAATGCAGACCTAATCCCACCAATCATTTCGCAATGTGGCCACCGAGCTAAGAGACCTATCATCGTTGTAAACATGGATAGATGTTAGTTGATTGAAGACAATGGACAATAAGACCAGGACTTACAATTCGTGCTTGTTGGCACCCGTCAGCGAGGCGTATCTGAAACCTCGAGAGAACTGATGTCCGCCATTATTTCCTCTCTCCACGGTTAGAACCCCACAGCAGACATCAATCCCCACGAGGTTGCAGATATGCCAACATGCAAGAAACCTAGGTTCAAGGCAGTCTGCAGATTGCTTCCAACGGACTAACATCTTTGATCATCCTGGAATATAAATAATTATGATGGCTGTTTTGTTTAGCTTGATTTTTCTCAAGAAATACCATTTAATTTCTCCTATTCAACTTGCCATTATTATTCGACTGTAAATCAGAAGATTGTTCAACAAGGCCTGGCCAAGACGCGATATGAGTCTGTGAAGTCTCTGACTTTTGGTCTGAGTCGTGTGACTTGATGTTGACTACCTGTCTAAGTTAACCGACTCAAAACGGATCAGTGGTTGAGAACTCTTAGTGACATGGCTGAAAATTGGTCAATATGCTCCCAACGTACTCAATCGTTGACATCTGAAGCTTGAATATTTTTGCTAACCTTTATCTTCAGATTGTTTATTCTCTCTCACAACTTTGTCTACTTTGATATCAGTGTTTTTGTATCCACTTATTCTTTGTGTATTACTGTGAAGTATGGCAAGTTGAGCCGAGGCACTTGTGTGCGAGGTTCTTTGTTGACTTTGTCAGTCAGTTAGTCAACTTTCATGCCTGATGTGATTTGTCAAAAAGTTGTGTTTACAGCCTTGGTCAGCACCATGGAGAAGGCAATATGAAACTGATTATCCTCCAGAGACGAATCAATTGTACCACTAGGTTTTAAAGGAGGTCATTCGAATCGCTCAATGGTGACATCTCTGACGGAGACAGGTATGAGTCTAGGAATGCAGCTTAGTTCTCCCAAGGTTGCGAATGCGCCTTACTGGCGTGTGCGAACAAACATGATACCCTGTCGATTGACTTCATCTAATATGAACTTTTTTAACTTTCAACATCATCTAGTTTTATCAACAGTTTTAAGTACAGTTTGTCGTGGGTTAATCATTGCAAGGTGTCTATACTAAGAACCTGTATTTTTGGCATAACGTTACACTTAGTTTCGTAATTAATCTACTATGTTACTTCTGACCACATTATCGGTTAGTGTAATTTAGAAATCTACTCTTATTTGGCACTGTTCGAAATATTTCCTGGAATAAATTCACTCTAAGCTGATTGGTGTGAGATACTAAACCTTTTCCTTTTTATTCCTTACATATTTCCTTTCGGTTCACTTGAATTAATGCATTTATATGACTTTTACAACAAACTGAGTGTCTTACATTTTTAGTTCAGTTCAAATGAGTCTGCCTATTGCCTCCTATTCTCTTCTTATCTATTTTATTCCCTCTCATTACCATGCTTTTGGTTAGCTTACTTTGCGTCATCTTTATTGAAGAAGTTTGTACACCATATAGATGATTTTGATTATTTGGAAATTTGACAAAAAGTAGATTTTTTCTATTCACATCATTTCACTTTATTTGAAGTAATTTAGACGTACAGTACTGAGTATTCTTATACACAAAAGCTTCAACTATGAAGTTCATGTGATTTGTCTACTACTTGCATACAGTAAAAATTGCTTAATAAATAGAAGCTTAAGTTATCTTTTGAACAGTGAATCATTTGATTACAAAGGAAGATTTATCCAACTACTTTTTATAGTCGTTGCTGTAAAACTGTAAATAAAAGACATTGTAATTCAATCGTTTTACCTTCAAGGTAAACTGATCAGAGGCATAATCTTTTATCACTGTAAAGTATTCTCGAATAGGATTGAAAATTCTCTGACTTTTTCTCAGAAATCAGAAAAAG